GATTGTCTTTCTTAATATAAAATTTATTTCTATATTTTGAATTTTGGCTTGCTGGCTATGATGGGAGCCTTTTGTTTTCTTTATTGATCTCTTTCTAGGCTCTTTCCTCTCTTATCAGAGGAACTAGATTAGGTAGTGGCATTTTGGGTCTCCCACCTCACAGTGAAATTGGGGATATCGTAGATCTAGTCACTGAGTTAGTAGTCAGCCTGATTCAGAGGCTCCCTGTGCCCATGGCTTTTCCTACTGCTACAGCCTCAGGCAGCTCCGGCAGTAGCTAGCTCTTTTTCAGATTCTTTTCAAAAGAGATGAGGCTGCTGAAATTCTTTGGCTGCCACTACTGCTTCTAAATCTGTAACCCTGTGGGTCTCTGGTATCGGCACACTAACTGCTTTGCATTTCTCTTCATTTTTTACCCAGATGATTATCTTGTTTTTGGACTCAGCTTGTTTTGGGGTTCCTATTTGTATATTTTGCATATTGTTAATATTAACTTGCATTGTAGGGGGATGTCCTGTCAAAATGGAAACTCAGCTATTTCATCTCTATTATTTCAATTGAAACTCTTTTAATACTTGCTTTTCTCATAATAACAGATGATTTTAGAAAATGGCCATTAATAACTTATTAGACATAAGAACAAACTCAATCCTCCCCTAAAAACCTTCATTTTATAAAACAGCAAAGTGAGAAAATGGAGAAATTTAGTAAATTGCCTTGGATTATACAGTTACTAGGTAGCAGAGAAAGGATTCTAAACCAGATAACATGGATCCATAATCTGTGTTCCTAACCACTGTGATATATTCCCTCTCATCTATTAGTTGGGAAAAATAACTTTCTTATAGTTTGTTCTAAGAATGAAGTAAGAGCAGCTGCGAAAAGCCTGATGCTGTGCCAGACATGTAATAGACATTCAACAAATATTTGTTTTTCTTTCCTTTGTGGCAGGCAAATATATTTCCAATATGATAGTTTAAATAAAACTTGTGGCCGGGTGTGGTGGCTCACACCTGTAATCCCAGCACTTCGGGAGGCCAAGGTGGGCAGATCACCTGAGGTCGGGAGTTCGAGATCAGCCTGACCAACATGGAGAAACCCCATCTCTACTAAAAATACAAAATTAGCTGGGTGTGGTGGCGCATGCCTGTAACTCCTGCTACCCGGGAGGCTGAGGCAGGAGAATCACTTGAACTCAGGAGGCGGAGTTTGCGGTGAGGCAAGATGGCACCATTGCACTCCAGCCTGGGCAAGAAGAGTGAAACTTTGTCTCAAAAACAAAACAAAACAAAAACAAACAAAAAACTTGTAAGTAGATTTTGTCTAAAATGTAGTATGTTTCATTTTAGTAAAAAGGGAGGGTGGGAGTTCCATTATTGGACCAAATTCCCTTGTATGGCTTTGAAGGCAGTACTTGCCTGGGAGAGGTGCAGAGCTAAGAAGCAAGGGAATCAGAGGAATAGGATCCAGTGGCAGAGTTCACATTGGAAACCAGACAAGTAAAGAATTCTGCAGAAAAGCTGGTTTGATGCTGGGGAATTCCAGAGCAGAATAAGAAGGTTCGGACTAGATGGTAGGAGCTGGTGCCTTGAGCGTTTCCCAGAGCTCCTGAGGTTCCTGGGTCCATGGTGCAATGGGCAGAGAGGGCTCTATCGATGGCAGTTTGCCAGCCTTGACCTTGTAGAGCATTTTTCTGGCCTCTGTTTTCAAATTCCGCAAATTAAAAAGGAGCATTTGGTTCTTAGTATGTAATACTCAAGGGAATAAATAGGCCCAGTTAACTGTTTACAGTTATACTAGCCAAGTATCTAAATTGGGGAATTGCCTCTGGGGCCTTGACCTAGCTCTTTCCCCAGTCATCTCATCTTTTACTTCCTCAGCTCTTATATATGGGCCTTCCACCATTCGACCTACACGTCCTTCAAAGTCTAGTTCAGATTCCAGCCCTTCCATGACACTGCACTGATCCCATGTATGCCTATATACCTAGTAGTTGCTTCAGGTTAATTAAAAGTTTAGAGAAAGGAAAAGTCCTCGTGAGATGCAGTATGGAGGAAGTTTCATCATTTGGATGAATAGGGATATGTGTGGGGACCATAAACAAATGCTTAGTTGGGAGTATGAGGTGTGTGTGTTTGTGGTGTGTGTGTGTTGTATGTTAGTATGAGAACCAGCAAAAACCAATCTTACTAGACCAGAGGAGTTTGTGTAGGAACTTGGAAAAGTTAGGTTAGATTTAAGTAGGAGGATTGGGTCCAGGTCATAGGCAACCTTTCAAGCTGGGAGAGTTTGATCAAGTTAGAAGAGGAGTTAAATGATTTGGTTAATAGTCAAGAGCCATTGAAAGTTCATGCAAGGAAGGGTGATGCATAGTGAGATGTTCCACTCTCATTCCAGACCTGCCTGCCTTCTTGGAGTGGTTGGTTTTGCCAGAGACTCTGTGGGCTCATGCAGGGAGGCCCAGGGGAGGCCCACTGACAGTTGAGGAGCATTATTGAACCAGTATTTAGTGTATTTATATTTCAACACACTTAGGAAATTAAGGAAATAGGAAAGTACCTCTCATGTCCTGCAGTTCCTTCTTCCCCTTAGTTTTTCCTACGTATCGAATCCCCTACAGGAGACTTGACCTTAGGCTGTAGCATTATCTATAAGCTGGTTTTAACTTGCCTATGGTTCTAGGAAGAAAATACAAGTATAAATTAAACCCACAGATATTAGATCAAGTACTCTTTACCTTATTCACCTCTATAATTCCAGCTGCTTCTTGGGTAGCTACATCACTACAAAAAAAGGTTTTTGCTTTAATTTTTTTTTTTTTTTGAGATGGAGTCTTGCTCTGTCACCCAGGCTGGAGTGCAGTGGCACCATCTTGGCTCCCTGCAGTCTCCGGCTTCCGAGTTCAAGCGATTCTCCTGCCTCAGCCTCCTGAGTAGCTGGGATTACAGGCGCCTGGCACCATGCGTGGCTAATTTTTGTATTTTTAGTAGAGATGGAGTTTCGTCATGTTGGCCAAGGTGGTCTTGAACTCCTGACCTCAGGTGATCCTCCTGCCTCAGCCTCCCAAAGTACTGGGATTACAGGTGTGAGCCACCACGCTCACCTGGCCCATTTTTTTCTTTTTTTTACAGTGAAGAAGGAACAAAAGCAGGCAGTAATCTATATTATTAGCACTTAAGTAATTATTCTTAGAAATTTGGATTTCAGTTTTTGATTGGGCAACTGTGTGAGGATTATATCAAGCTGGCAATATTACTAATAAAGTAGGTAAATTATTTCACAAAACACAAGACATTTATCTTAATTTAAAAAGATATAAAATCCAGTGATTGGGAAGTAACCTCAATCCTTAAAAATACAAAAGTGTGGGGCAATTATTTTTATTATGAAAAATTCCAAATGTGTGTATTTGTGTGTATGTATATCACATATATTTAAAAGTAGAAAGAATAATAAACCACCTTTACCCATCATCCAAATTCAATAGTGATCAAAGTTGAGTCACAACTGCGTCATCTATTCCTTTTTATTATTGTTTGCTGAAGTATTCTAACACATCCCCGATTTGTGATTTTTATTCCTATGTACTCAGTACGCATCTCTAAAAATATGAACCCTTTGTTCCGTGTTCACAGTTCAATGGCACATTTTATAAAGAATTTCTTGGTGTTATCTAATATCTAGTATGTATATAAATTTCCTCTGTTACTTGACAGTGTCTGTTTTACATTTCATTTGCTCAAATCAGGATCTAAACAAGGTTCACACACTGCATTTTGTTGTTATGTCTCTGAATCTCTTTAATCTAGTGGTTGGGAGTTTTGATAGCTGGTTTTGGTGGCCAAGGGCAGGAGTGTTGAAGAAGCAAGGGTGAGGTGATGGATTTTAAGATATGCTAAAAGGAAATCTTTAGAATCACAGAGCCTGCTAGGAGTAGGGAGATGTAATTGTAACATTTATGGCTGAAATAATATTTTTTAGGTCCATGTCAAACTTTAAAAAATGCCTCCTTTAAAGTAGTAATATTTATGTATTTTGTTCTATGTGAAACATACAGCTGAATCTGAGTTGCTATTTAGAATGTTTAGTCAGTAACTGAAATTATCTATTTTACGCCAAACTAGAATAAAGAAAAAAAAAAAATCCCAAATGTGTTCCTAAGAGATTCACTATCAATTAGAAATCAGTTATCTTTCTGCAACTTTTCTTTCTCAACTTAAAAATGTGTTTTTCCTTTGGACTTTATCTGCAAATTTTCATATATTAATTTCAGTTAAAACCAGGTACTGTCTTGCTAAGATAATTTTGTCTACCTACCACTGAGTATGGTATTCCTTGGGCAGTGCTATACAGTCTAGTCTAGTAGGGCATACATTGAAAAATTTTATAAAAATTAAATGTTCTTGAACACTCTAAGATAACGCTTAATGTGATAATGCAGAAGCTCACTGATGTAATGTTCAAATCACCTCAAAATGTTTATGCCTCTTCCCAGATACATTGCTTTAATTCTCCAGAGGATCTGGTTAAAACTTTTATTTGTGGTAGGCCTCATTTTGAGAGCGATGAAAATGATTGCTAAAATACAGTTTAAAATGTGTTTTCTTTGAATATGTGTAATCCCTATAAACAGAACATAAATTATAATAAACTTATATTCTCTTTGTTGGAAATCTTGAGTTGTATAGTATGAAATATCTGTGAGACCATGATCAACCTTTTCCTGAATATTTTGAGTGTGGATGCAAGCCCACATATTAAAATTTGTTTTACGGACGAGACACATGCTTTAAACACTGCAGTTGTTAGAAATGAAATCTTTAGATCTTAAGACCCATAATAAAGAGGAAAGTAGGTGAAAAGTATGAGATATTTTTTGTTTCATCCCCTCTCGATATAAGGATGTTTATTATTTTCTTAACAGTGTAAATGTACGTCAATAGTTTGTACTTTCAACTTTGATACCTAATTCTGAATGTTTGATTATATATACCTTTTAGGTGCCCAAATGTGAGTCTGCAAAAGCTGCCGGAGCAGTGGCTATGGAGTGTTTTAGAGGAAATTAAATGCAGTGATCCTTCATCTAAACTCTGTGCTACAAGGCGCAGTGCTGGAATTCCTTTCTACATACAGGTACTTGTCTGTAGGACCCTAGTTGTTTGTTTATATTTGTCTTTGATGATAGTGTATCCTAACCAGTTTGACATGTGAGTGAGCATATTACATAAAGAACATTTCTGTCTTTTCAGCACCATAGCATTTGTGGCTTTGTTTTAATGTGGGGACGGTGTGTTCCTGTGACAAGATCTGTTCTTGGAACAAACCCTCTAAAAGGTCAATCTTGTAGTATCAACAGAGGGTGGTATACATTTCTGTCTGTGTATTAAGTAGGCAGACATCACTGTGGCACAGTCATTGCTTACTTCCAGGAAGTGTACATGTTGCCCCACCACCCCACTTTATTTAAAAAAAAAAAAAAAAAAAAGTCTTCCTTTCATCTCAAGACCTTCAGTACTCTCTGTAGGCAACCAGTGTTAACATTTTCTTTTCAATTCTCCTATAAAACATCCATCCGTAAAATAAACATAATCATAATAGTAGCTGACATTTATCAGTGGTTATTTCATATACATTACCTCATTAACTCCTTCCCTGTACCCTATTATCATCCATATATTCTAGATGAAGAAACTGGGGTTTAGGTATGTTAAGTGACTTGCCAAAGGCCAGAGACAGTAAGAACTGAGTTAAGACTTGAGCCCAGGCAGCCTGACTCCTGAACCTCTCTGCATATGAGAATATGTGTGTGCGAGTCCGTTTTCCCTTTAAACACATATGAAAACGTATACACTGCTTGCTCTTTGATTTCACTAGTATTATACCTTAAAGATTGCTTCATATCAGCACATTTAGATATGGCTATTGATGGGAAAATATTTTATTTAGAAATTAAGACTGTTACCTTCATGAACCCAAAGAATAAAAACCAGTGTCTTCACAATACTAAATCAGATCCCATCCTGAAAGGCCTTTGTTTAATGCGTAGTAAGATTAAATCCAGGAATCTGGTGGTATAATAAAAGCACTGAAAATAAATGGAATGAAGTCTGTCTTTTTTTTCATGCCCCTACATTTTTTCCTTCTCTTTCTTACTCCTCCCTCAAATTCCTAAAATCCCTTTATGATTTTTTTGGTGACAGTGGGCATCAGTTGCAGAGGTTGTTGACAGAGATCATTGAAGTAGTTCTTCTGTACGGATTTTGGTGACCTTCAGAAATCAACTTTTCTTTGATCTGACCCATTCTGGATCAGTGTGTTTCATTCTCCTGCCTATAATTCACTCTGACCTTGTGTTTTTACATGTCCTTTGTCTGTCTGAGGTCCAATGTTAAGACAGGATCAAGGTCTCACTGCATATTTGTGCAGTGTGCTTCTTTCAGCTCTGGTGCCCAACTTGTACTAAGTTATGGTCATAATGAGTAATCAGAAGGTGTACTTTCTTACCCTAGCCTTGGCAAGAATGCCAAAACTTTACCCAGCTCTTTGGGAGAAAAAAGCCATGGTTCCCTGAAGACATTTTAGTAATTGAATGTAGCTTTTCACTTTATTTTAGTTGGATAAAGTCTAAATTAAAAAAAAAAAAAAATCTGCTTAAGTCTTCATTTCTCTTAGCATGACTTACTAATAAAGTTATATTCCTGTTTTGGTGGAAATCTGCATAGTGTTAGCTATGGAAAAGAACTGCCTACTTAGTTTGTGAGTTTGCCTTTTGCGTAGACAGATTAAAAATTGTTTTCAATATAGACAAAGTTTTTTTGAATAGTCATTTAAAAAATATATGTTATCTGAGCATAAACTATGAGAAATGTCTTCTAAACCAAACTTTTTTTTGTACGTCTTTATTTTCCTCTTCTGTAAATTTGAAATGCTTCAGAAGAAGCTGACTAACTTGAAACTTCACTTTTGAGAGCCAGTAGCTACAAACATGAAAAGTAGACATGGAGGAAGGGAATCTGAGAATGTGACTAAAGTGATTTTTTTAAACAGCTTTATTGAGTTTTAATTCACATACTATATATTCACCCTTTTAAAGTGTACCATTCAGTGGTTTTCAGTATATTCACAGAGCTGTACAACCATTATTTAGTTTTAGAACATCAACCCATGAAACTTCCCATACTCATTAGCAGTTACTTCCCATTTCTCTCTACCCCTGCCACTCAGCCCTAGGCAATCACTGATCTACTTTCCAGCTCTATACATTTGCCCATCCTGGACATTTCATATATATGGAATCATACAGTGTATGATCTTTTGTGTGTGGCTTCTTTCACTTAGCATAATGTTTTCAGAGTTCATCCATGTTGTAATATATGTTAGTACCTCGTTCCTTTTTATTGCCTCACGCGACTTAATACCCTATTTTTACCCTATTTTTATGTTTATTGGACATCGGCAAAGTGTTAGATACGAAGTAAGTAAGTAAGCTACTGAAAATTTTAAATATAGGACCTCTTTGGTGTTTGCAGTATTTCTTTTTGTTCCATGAAGTTTCAAATACTTTGATTAGTCCTCCAAGTAATGATTCTTTTGTGAAGAATTAACTAACTGCTTCATCTCCAGGGAGCCTTAACATTCTTACAAGAAATTTAATCCAGAGATTTTTTGTTTTTTAAGTGAAGAGAATTTTCTTGTTAGATAAATTTGTTACTAAAACTGATTTGTTTATTGTGTCTGAGAACTGCCACCTACTTAGGGTTCTTAAGGAGTTGTCAATAAGTTTTAGCCTTTTAGAATTGTAAAATTTAATGAGCAAACTGGAAGTGACCTTAGAGATGACATGATTTCACCTTCACCTAAATTTAGAGATGAAGAATCTGTAGGTTAAACTGTGAGGCTAAACCACCTGTCCAGGGCCACATGGCTTAATTAACTTTCTTTGATAACCACATATTTTTATTAAGGGGATTTTGCATTTTGGGATTGATTCAGGAAAGCAGCAAAAAAGTGTATGTAAACTAAGAACCCTGTTAATTTTTGCATTCTTTTTTCATAGGCACTGTTGGCATCTGAACCAAAGAAAGGCAAAATGGATTTGTTGAAAATAACAATGAAAGAGTTAATCTCTTTGGCTGGGCCTACAGATGACTTACAGAGCACAGTCCCCCAGGTAATCATGGAAATACACAAACCCTCCAGTGTTGTTTTTTTCGTTTTGTTTTTCTCTTTTCTCGAGATGGAGTTTCGCTCTTGTTACCCAGGCTGGAGTGCAGTGGCGTGATCTCAGCTCACTGCAACCTCTGCCTTCTGGGTTCAAGCAGTTATCCTGTCTCAGCCTCCTGCAGTGGTTTTAAATCTTTGCTTTATTTTTTAACAAAAATTATTTGCTGGAGATAAAGAACTCTTGAACGTTGGACGGACATTTGAAGCTTGTTTGAATACTTTTTATTTTATTTTTTTTGTCTTTACCATCCACAAAATAAACCATTGCTTTAGTTGAATATATTAATCAAAACAAACAATTTTTAAACTCTGGTGAAAACATCCAGCTTATATAAGCTATTTTATAATACTGTTGCATCCACAAATTTGAAAGTGTATATGCTAGCACTTGAGAATTTCATGTGTACTTCTTTGAGTTGATGTACATTTTGTAACTCAGCCATTGAAAATTTCCTTTAAATATGGTATCTAACTTTTGGGATGTTCACATTTAGTTCCTTGTAGTCACTACCTATATGTATGAAGTTAAAGCACTCCTCATAGCTTCACTTCACCACTAGGGAGTCAGTATTAATACCTGTCAAGTACTGCTTGTACATTATAGTCTGGGCTTCCTCAGTTAATGCTTCATAGTAGGACACTCCTTTTTTTGTTTGTGTTTTGAGACAGTCTCACTCTGTTTTCCAGGCTGGAGTGCAGTGGTGCGATCTTGGCTCACTGCAACTTCTGCCTCCTGGGTTCAAGCAGTTCCCATGCCTCAGCCTCCCCAGTATCTGGGATTACAGGTGTGGGCCACCACACCTGTCAAATCACCTGAGGTTGGGAGTTCAAGACCAGGCCCAATCACCTGTTGGCCAGGTTGGTCTTGAACTCCCAACCTCAGGGATCTGCCTGCCTTGGCCTTCCAAAGTGCTAGGATTATAGGTGTGAGCCACTGTGCCCAGCCTATAGTAGGACACTCCTACCCAACTATAAAGGGCCATGCTAGGTCAGGGAACAGATTGAGAGCTGAAGTTTACAATCAAGTACAATAAGTACATAGGATTTTATTTTAGAGCCTGTGGGAGGTGTTAAAGGGAGTCCACGGGCCAGAATGTGGACTGTGGAAAAGAATGGGGATTCTTTTCCACAATCATATGGAACATAGTCATATGGCATATAGTGGCCAGTGCCCATAGGTATGAAATGTCTTCATTTCTTTAAAAAATTGACTAAAATGTTGTTAATCACCGTTCAAAAATGATAATTTCAAGACATTTTTCAGTGAAATGTGAAAAAGACAATTGGTTCTATTTTCCTAAACTATCACTTTAAAAAAGTAGATGCTGTGTATCTGTTATCTGAGATGCTGGGAACCAGAAGTGTTTCGGATTTCAGATTTTTTTTTCTTCTTTTTTTGGCATTTTTGCAATATACTGAACAGGTCAACATCTCTAATCTGAAAATGTAAAGTGCTCCAATGGGCGTTTCCTTAGAATGTCATGTCAGTGTTCAGAAAGTTTTGGATTTTGGAGCTTTTTTGATTTCAGATTTTTGGATTTGGGATGCTGAACCTGTGCTGTTTTTATAAGAACATCTAAAAATAATGGGGGTTGATTTTAACGAGTGCTGGATAATTATTGCCCTACTGTACTTCAAGGTGATGGCATTTTAGTGATCATTTTTATGAAATTGGTGAGATTTAAAAATTTTGTCTGTGACCAGTCTTCTAAGCTTTTTTAGTTGATAATTTGCTTTCATTCTCCCCTCCTATAGTTCATTTCTTTATTATTTTTATTATGTATCTTTTGAAATATTTCAGCATACAGAAATATATAGTGAATAATGAACATATTTGAAACCAATTCCAGTTTAAGAAATTAAACATTACAGAGATTGTTAGTTATGCTGTGGATTCTTCCACATCTCATTCCCCTTTATTCCTCCTCAGCTATAACCACTAACCCAAATTAGTGACTATCATTTCCAAGCATTTTCATCATACTTTTATCTCCTTTTACATGAATGTTGTTATTCACACTTTTTATACTTTGGTTTTGTCAATCAACATTATATTTTAAGGTTAGTAAGCTCCTGTTCAGCCCCTGTTCACTTTCATTTCTGAACAGTATTTTATTCTATTTCATTTCATCCCTTCTTCTGTGAATGGACATTTGCTTTGTTTCCAGTTTTCTTGTGTTAGAAACAATGCCGAAACAAACATTCTTGTGTGTCTCCTTACACATGTGAGTGTTTCTCCAGGTTATATACCTAGAGGAATTGCAGTATTGTAGGGTACACACATATTCAATTCGATACTGTTGTGTTGTCTCCAAAATGGTTGAACTAATATTCCTGCCAGCGGAGTAGAAGACTTTCCATTGCTTATCAACACCGTTGTATTATCAGACTTTTACAGTTTTTGACTTTCTGCTTAGTGTGAAATGCTGTTTTCTAGTTTTATTTTACATTTCTCTTATTACTAGTCAGCTTTAACATCTTTTCATATGTTTATTAGCCTTTTGGTTTACTTCTGAGAGTTGTCTGTTGAAAGACTTTGCTTACTTTGATATTGGTTATTTGTCCCTTCATTTTTGTTTTGTAGGAGCTGGATTTTTGTTGTTGTTTCAGAAATATTTTCTTGATATTGATTTCTTTTTGATTATTTGAATTACATATATATTCTCCCAACCTATGGTTTCTCTTTTTACTTTGTGGTCTCTATTGTTATATAGATAATTTTTAATTTTAATAAAATACAATAGGTTAGCTTTCTCCTTTATGGGTTGTACATTCGGATCTTATTTCAGAAATTCACCCCAAGATCAGAAAGATATTTTATATTTTCTTTTTTCTTTTTTTTTTTTTCCAAGTCGAGGTCTTACTCCGTGGCCTAGGCTGGAAGGCAGTGATAAGATCTCGGCTCACTGCAACCTCCGCCTCCCAGGTTCAAGCGATTCTCCTGCCTCAGCCTCCTGAGTAACTGGAATTACAGACTTCTGCCACCATGCCCTGCTAATTTTCATATTTTTAGTAGAGACGGGGTTTTGCCTTGTTGGCCAGGCTAGTCTTGAACTCCTGACCTCAGGTGGTTCTCCCGCCTCGGCCTCCCAAAGTGCTGGGATTACAGGCGTTAGCCATCGCGCCCGACTGAGAAAGATATTTTATATTTGCTTTTAAAAGTTTTGAAGTTTTACTTGTCACACTTGTCATAATTTTATGTAAAGGAAACCATATTATTATTTTTTTACAGGTAGGATCTTGCTCTGTCATCTAGGCTGGAGTGCATGCAAGTCTTTATGTTACCTGTAATTTGTTTTTGTTAGTGTAAAATAAAATAGTTTAATGTTTGCCATTTGGATGACTGATACAGAGACATTTCTGATATAATACATCCTTTTCTTCTTGATTTGTACTGCCTCTATTATGTGTTTTCATAGATAGGTGGTTCTGTTTCTGTGCTGCCTTTCATTGGTCTGTTAATCTATCCCTGGAGCAAAACCACTATTTTATTTTTGTTTTTATTTTTTTGAGATGGAGTCTTGCTCTATCACCCAGGCTGGAGTGCAGTGGTGTGATCTCAGCTCACTGCAACCTTCACCTCCTGGGTTCAAGCTGTTCTCCCTCCTCAGCCTCCTAAGTAGCTGGGATTACAGGCCTGTGCCACCACGACCGGCTAATTTTTGTATTGTTAGTAGAGAGGGGGTTTCACCATGTTGGTCATGCTGGTCTTGAACTCCTGACCTCAAGTGATCTGCCCGCCTGGGCCTCCCAAAGTGCTGGGATTACAGGCGTGAGCCACCACACCTAGCCTAAAACCACTATTTTAATTATTGTGTCTTTATAAAAAGTTATAATATCTGGCAAGTTGAATCTTTTTTTGTTTTCTCTTCAGAATGACCTTGGCTATGTTTGGCCTGTTGCTCTTCTATAAAAAATTTAGAATTAGCTTGTTAAACTCAGTAAAAAGCCCTTTTGGAATTTTGGTTAGAATTTAAACGTATTGATTTATTTGGGAGTTTTGCTCTTGTTGCCTAGGCTGGAGTGCAATGGCGCGATCTCGGCTCACTGCAACCTCCGCCTCCTGGGTTCAAGCAACCCTCTTGCCTCAGCCTCCCGAGTAGCTGGGATTACAGGCGTGTACCACCACGCCTGGCTAATTTTTTTATTTTTAGTGGAGACAGGGTTTTGTCATGTTGGCCAGGCTGGTTTTGAACTCCTGACCTTAGGTGATCCACCTGCTTCGGCTTCCCAGAGTGTGGGGATCACAGGCGTGAGCCACCGTGCCCAGCCCATAAAAGTATTACAGATTATTTTTGAGATTTATTTCTAATGTCTTTTTTTTTTGCAATTATGAATGGTATTTTTAAAAGTTTATATTATCTGTTGCTGTTTGAGAAGATCGCAGTTAATTTTTGGATTATTATCATGCTTGTATTCAGCAGCCTATCAGAATTGCTGTAATACAGCAAATGACTTATCTATAAATTCTTTTGGATTTGTTTTATGGATAATCATATCTTTGACAAATAATGCTAAGTTTGTTTTAACTTTCTAATTTTTAGTTTTTTAAAAACAGTTTTTATTGTACTTTGCTGCTGGAACCTGTAGTACAGTTTGGTATAGAAAGAGAGATAACAGGCATCCTTAGGTTATTTCTGATCAATTTGCTGCAATTTTTAATCTACCCATTATCTTATTAAGGGAATTGAATTTTATTGAATATTTTTTGCATCTTTTGAGATAAATATGTTTTCTTCTAGAATTTGCAGATGTCATGAATTGTATTGATTTTTTCAATTTAATATTATCTTTGCATTCTTGCATCTCTCACTGGTTTTGTGAGTGAGACTGGCCTGTGGGTTTCCTTTTCATACTGTTTCTGTCCTGTTTTTTTAAATATGCATCTTTTGATGGAATTATAGTACATATACAGACAAGTGTACAAATCATATGTGTACCTCAGTACAGTTTCACAAAGTGAACGCATTTGTGCAGTCATCAAGAAACAGAACATTTCTAGCAACTTGAAAGCCCCCTCTTGCTCTCTTCCAGTCCACACCCTTCTCTCCAGGAGTAGCCACTAGCCTAACTTCCAACACTCTAGTTTTAGTTTTATCTGTTTTTTGAGTTTACATAAATGAGACCATACATTATTATTATTTTTTTATTTTAGAGACAGGATCTTGTTCTGTCAGTCAGGCTGGAGTGGAGTAGTGCTATCATAGCTCACTGTAGCTTCAAACTCCTTCATAATATTTTTTATTTATTTGTGCCTTCTTTCCTCTGTTCTTGGTTAGTCTTGTCAGAGGTTTATTTCTGTTTCAGAAAATCAGCTTTTGGGTTTGTTAATGCTCTTAGTTGTGTCTTTGCTATTTTAAAAGTTTCTGCTCTAAATTTTTATTTTCTTTCTGTGTTTCAAGTTTATTGTTCTCTTTCTGTTGACTTAATTGGTCACTTACCACAATCATTCTAGTCATTTAAAAAAATAGAAGCATTTGAGATATACATTTTTTTTTTTAAATTTCACTTAAACTGCATCCTACAAGTATTGGTATATAGGTAGCATCTTCAAAATATTAAAAAAATTTTTTACCAGCGTTTAATGTGTTTGAAAACATGCCAATTTTAAAAGCATTTTTTAGGCCGGGTGCGGTGGCTTACGCCTGTAATCCCAGCACTTTGGGAGGCCAACACAGGTGGATCACCTAAGGTTAGCAGTTCAAGACCAGCCTGGCCAACATGTTGAAACTCTGTCTCTACTAATTATACAAAAATTAGCCGGGCATGGTGGCACACACCTGTAATCCCAGTTAGGAGGCTGAGGCAGGAGAATCGCTTGAACCTGGGAGGTGGAGGTAGCAGTGAGCCGAGACCACATCATTGTACTCCAGCCTGGGCAACAAGAGTGAAACTCCATCTAAAAAAATAAAATAAAAAATAATTTTTTTTTTAAGTTTCTTAATTCCATGGTGATCAGAGCATAATCTATAAGTTATTAGTTACTTGGTATTTGTTGAGACTTTATTTGTGGCTAGGTTTGAGGGATTTTAGAAAATAAATGTTTCATGTGTGTGTGAAAATAATGTGTTGTCTCTGTATTTAGGTGCAGGCTTCTACATATGTGCATTGGATCAAACTTTTTTATAGCATTGTTTGAATCTTACTAATTTTTTGTAAAATGGTTTATCAGTTACTGGATGTGTTTTATTAAATCTGCTGTTTCATTTGTGAATTATCCATTGCTTGTAATTCAGTAAATTCTTTGTTTTGAGGCTGTGCTATTGTATATGTGTAGATTTAGAATTGCCACGGTTTTCAACCTACAACTAATTTTGAACTTCTTGTTTTAGGTTCATGCTTTAAATATCCTTAGAGCGTTGTTCAGAGATACACGCCTGGGAGAAAATATTATTCCTTATGTTGCTGATGGAGCTAAGGCTGCAATTCTGGGTTTTACATCACCGGTCTGGGCAGTAAGTGCTGTTACTATTCATTTTCATTGATTTAATTATGCTTCTGAGTAGGTTTTAATAAACTAATCTTTCACTGGATGATAAAAAATATTTCCTGCCCTTTACCTTGAAGTTTCTTAGAAATCTTTGGATCAAGCTACATTTTTTATTGTTGATGGTTCCATTTTCACTCATTTGTTGGCTGATTAACCGTCTTTCTTTGTTTTTTTAAAATTTTTTTTACTTTAGTGATAGCTTTAGGGTTTACAATATGTATCTTTAACTTATCACAGTCTATCCTCAAGTGATATTACACCATGTCACTTAAAGTATAAGAACTTAATAATAGTGCACTTCTGTTTCTCTCCTCCCAGTCTATGTGCTGTTATTGTTACACATTTTACTTTCATGTGTGTTGTAAACTCACACTACATTGTTGTTATTTTTCTTTAAACAGCCAGTTATATTTCTTTTTAATTTACCACTTTAGCTATTTTTAAGTATACACAATGCAGTGGCATTATGTGCATTCACAACAACGTTTATCAGCACTGTGCTTTTCTGGAACATTTTCATCATCCCGAGCAGAAGCTCTGTATTCATTAAACACTAACTCCCATCTCTCATCTCCCTCACCCCTAGTAACCTCTGTTCTTTCTGTCTCTGTGGATTTGCCTGGTCTCATACCTCATGTAAATGGAATTGTACAATATTTGTCCTTACGTTATTGGCTTCTTTCATGTAGTATATGAAAGGTTGATCCATACTGTGCAGTGGGGGTAGGGGGTGTGTGTTGGTTTATCAGTATACACAGTATACACACATCCCACATTTTCTTTTTTTAATTTTTATTTTACTTTAAGCTCCAGGATACATGTGTAGAATGTGCAGGTTTGTTACATAGATATAAGCGTGCCGTGGTGGTTTGCTGCACCTACCAACCTGTCATCTAGGTTTTTTGTTTGTTTGTTTTTAATTGAGATGGAGTCTCACTCTGTCACCCAGGCTGGAGTACAGTGGTGTGATCTCAGCTCACTGCAACCTCTGCTTCCTGGGTTCAAGTGATTCTCCTGCCTCAGCCCCCCAAGTAGCTGGGACTACAGGCACGTGCCACCACGCCCAGCTAATTATTGTATTTTTGGTAGAAAGAGGGTTTCACTACGTTAGGTAGGCTGGTCTGGAACTCCTGACCTCGTGATCTGCACGCCTTGGCCTCCCAAAGTGTTGGAATTACAGGCGTGAGCCATCACGCTTAGCCTGTCATCTAGGTTTTAAGCCCCACACGCATTAGCTCTTTGTTCTGATGTTCTCCCTCCCTTCCTGCCTCCAACAGGCCCTGGTGTGTGTTGTTCCCCTTCCTGTGTCTATGTGTTCTCACTGTTCAATTCCCAATTATGAGTGAGAACGTGCAGTGTTTGGTTTTCTGTTCCTGTATTAGTTTGCTGAGGATGATGGCTTCCAGCCTCTTCCATGTTCCTGCAAAGGACATGATCTCATTCGTTTTTATGGTTGCGTAGTATTCCATGGTGTATATGTACTACATTTTCTTTATCCAGTCTATCATTGATGGGCATTTGGTTTGGGTCCATGTCTTTGCTATTGTAAATAGTGCTGCAATAAACATACGTTGCATGTATCTTTATAGTCGAATGATTTTTATTCCTTTGGGTATATATCCAGTAATGGCATTGTTGGGTCAAATGGTATTTCTGGTTCTGGATCCTTGAGGAATCACCACACTATCTTCCACAATGGTTGAACTAGTTTACATTCCCACCAACAGTGTAAAAGTACTCTTATTTCTCCACAGCCTTACCAGCATGTATTGTTTCTTGACTTTTTAGTAATTGCCATTCTGACTGGTGTGAGATGGTGTCTCATTGTGGTTTTGATTTGCATTTCTCTATCATCAGTGATGTTGACCTACCACATTTTCTTTATCCCAGTTCATCTGTTGATGGACATTTAGGTTGTTTCCACTTTTTGGCTATGATGAATAATGCTGCAGTGAATATTAATGTACAAATTATCTGAGTCATTTTAGTTCTTTTGGGTATATCATATGGTAATTCCATGTTTAACTTTTTGAGGAATGAACAAACTTCTTCCCCAGCAGCAGCACCATTTTATACTCCCATCAGCCATGCACAAGTTCCAGTTTCTTTACATCTTTACCAATACTTGTTATCTTTTTTTTTTTTTTTTTGTGATAATAGCCATCCTAATGGATGTGAAGTGGCATCTCATTCTGATTTTGATTTGCATTTCCCTAATGATTAATTATGTTGATCTGGAAACAAAACAACTCTGAGTATTTAAATGTGTTTGTATTTTGGATGCTGTGGACTCTAGTATTAGTGTGTTGAGTTAGTGCTACAAATAAACTCCATCAAAAGTTGAAAAAACAGACACTCACAAAACATTGAAATGGAAGAGGTTAAATAGTGAGTCGCATTTTCTTTTGTAATATGGTCACTGTCCAGAAGCATCTTGATTCAAAATCTTAAAGATAGTGGACAATACCCAGTACAGTTGTTTCATGTGTTTTCTTATGATTTCTGGGAGAAACGTTATAGTTTGTTTTCCTATATCATTGTGTCTTCTAGAATAAGGAGAATAACCTCTGGTTTATAGATGCTTGAAATATAGCTTAAAGTAAAAAGTCTAGCAAAGGGAGAGGAGAAAAGAAGCTAGATCTTAATACATTGCCTGCAGAGTGGAGTATTTACTAGAAAGTCAGGCTTTCCAGTTAGTAAGCTGCACAAACCATTTCTTACCTGTATGATAAGCCTCTAATTGAGAGTAAATATTTTGCAGTGGAAGCCAATGGCACAGACTCCCATTGTGAAGAGGAATCCTTTGAGTTGCCAACTCTTGCCTAGAAAATTGTGCATCTTCCTGTAAGAGATACACACTTCTGGAATTCTGTCTAAGAGCATTGCATAACTACTCTTGAGGTCACAGAGTTTACCTTTTACACTTACAGGAAGTAGAGCAATGCCTTTATGCTGTCAGTAGAGTCAGAGAGGTAGGAATGTGGCTTGACCATCAGGAATACTGGAGATCATAAAAGTGATTGTCAGAAATACCAATATTGCTTTCTTCAAGCCATTAGTTCCAGATGAACCAAGAAATATTTTCCATGAAAGGACTTTCAGAGAGTGAAGCCTGGTGATTCGTCCAACTTTTTAGTAAAATTGAAACTATCAGAAATGAGTGTTTCATTTTTTTTTGAAAAGACTATTTTTTGAGACCCTAAACAGTAATACATGTGCACTGCAGAAATTTTGAAAATAAAGAAAAGCATAATAAAAACGGTAAAAGTCACCTGTTAAATTACCGTACAGATATGAGCATTCTGATTCATTTTCTTTCTCTTTTTTTATGTGTGGGCTTTACATATGCATAGTACATATATGCATACATATCCACAAAAGGCTACATAAATATATATAAGTGCTTTTATTTTCTTTCTAATTTCATAATACTAATAATTTCATTTCTTGGGATCTTCCTTTTTAACACTTTATGAAGGAAACATTTCTATTTAGTTTGCTTTGCTAGAGGAAATAAATATAGCTATAATGATCAACACTGTTACTTAATATTATCAATGGTTATATTTTCTGCTGTATAAAAGTCTAATCTAAGATAAAATTTATAAGTCACCCTACTTAATGGATGTGAAGAAGTATTCACTTACAAAAGCGATTTACGAAAGCAATCTCTGTTGAAGTGATTTTAAGTGTAATTTTTCCTTAGTGCATGCGAAATATGGTTTGATTTGCAGAACTTTGATTTGTATACATCCTCTTAGGAATATAACTGTGCTTAAAGCTGGCTACATCTGTACTTTTGACTTAATTGTTTTTCCTGATAAGTTAGGGAAAATACACATGTAAAATGAACTTAATTTTAACTTGCAGTAAAGAAACATTTTTCAGAAAGCATTCATGTATATATTTAATTTGTTTTTACAGATTCCTTAGTCTTTTGTATTGAAACCATACAGATCTCTCAAACTTTGCTACCTAATAAGCATTTTTAAAATACAGAGAAATGTATTATGTAAATATTTTCAGCATTAGACATATCTACTTAATATATTGTAGATGTTATATTAAGCACTAGAAATACAAGGATAGGTTATACATAATCATAATAATGGCTGTTTTATTGAGTATTTCTCATGTACCTGGCATAATTTACATTGCATTGATTATCTTAGTAGGTTCTGTTATCAGGTAGGTTCTGTTATAATCCTCATTTTACAGATGTATTTTTAGTAGAGATGGGGTTTCACCCTGTTGGCCAGGCTGGTCTCGAACTCCTGACCTCAAGTGATCCATCTGCCTCGGCCTTCCAAAGTGCTGGGATTACAGGCGTGAGCCACTGCACCCAGCCTCTTCTGTATCTTAAACAAGTCTACATGAAAGCTTTTTCATGCAAGAAAGGAAAGAAAAAGTTATACACTCCGTGAATAGAAGAGAAAAATTTTGGTAACAGTTGTTTGCAGTCGAATTCCAGGTTCTTATCAACCATATATTCAGGGCTTGATGGAGAAGGAGGTCAGGAGCAGGAAGTGTTTCCCTTGTGAGAAGGATGGATTTTAGCTGGGATTAAAATCATGCATTACTTAATGACAGGAATTCATTCTGAGAAATCTGTTGTTTGGGGATTTCATTGTCGTGTGAACATCATATCATATACATGCGCAAACCTAGATGTCTAGCCTACTCCACCCCTAGGCTGTATGATAGAGCCTATTATTCCTAGGCTACAAACTGTACAGTATGCTCCTATACTGAGCATGCTACCATGCTGAGTATGTGGGCAGTTGTAACACAGTAATAATTATTTGGATAGCTAAACACAGAAAAAGTACAGTAAAAATACGGTATTATAATCGTATGAGACTATCATTAAATAAGTGGTCCATTGTTGACCACAGCATCATTTCGTGGTTCATTACAGCTATTATCATTTCTCCATTTTTAACTTTACTACTACTTACCCTTTTC